GTACAACCATTTTGGAAAATGATATGGCACTTCCTTAGAAAGCTAGAAGTAGAAATACCATATGATCCAGCAATCCCACTCCTATGAATATATCCTAGAGAAATAAAAACCGTCACATGAATAGACATATGCACACCCATGTTCATTGCAGCATTGTTCACAATAGCAAAAAGATGGAAACAATCTAGATGCCCATCAACAGATGAATGGATAAACCTCCAACACCTTACTCTTAGGCTCCTATTTCACCATCACAAGAGAACCCTCCCCCCAACACACACAACACCAGCCTATCTGTAGCCACATCCTTGCCTTCCGCTTTGTTATAGTGGATGAACTCCTCATACTCCTAGCAAAGGCCGCCCGCCATCCCCAACTTGTGCTGTAGAATTGGATCCCATCCCCTCTTGCTTCTTCAAGGCCATTATTCCACCATTTGTTCTCTCTCTCCATCATCAGTCTTCTCTCTTTAGAGAGACCTACAATACAGTATTTCTTATCTAATATTTCTCATCCTCATTTCCCCTTCCAGCTACTTTCCATTTATTTAATCCCTATACAGCAACACTTCTCAAACAAGTTGTTTATGTTCACTGTCCCCATTTCCTTTCTTCACACACTCAACCCTCCAGTCAGGCTTTCTCCACCGCTGTCCCACAGAAACAGCTTTTGTTCAGGTCATCAATGACCTCTATGTTGCTAAAAATATTGGTCACGTTTCAGGGCCCCGCTGTCTGTTCTCAGCATAGCATCCAAAGAGAGCTTTTTAAAACCTGAGTCAGATCATGACACTCCCCTGTCAAGCCCCTCAATGGCTTCCTATCTCATTTAGAGTAAAAAATCAAAGTTCTTACAATGGCCCACAAGGCTATGAATGACTGGGTCCCACCCCTCCCCTCATTTCCTACCAGCATCCCTTTGAGCACTCTACTGCCCTCCTTTCTGTTTCTCACACACACCAGACTCGTGCTTACTCAAGACTTTGCCCTTGTTTCTTCTGCCTGGAATGCTCTCCACCCCCTCCACCCCCGCCCCCACTGAAATACCTGCATAACTCCTCTCTCCTCCAAGTCAACTCACATGCTGCCTCATCAGTGAGGCCTTCTCTGACTAAACCAGTTGCCATTGATTTGACTCCAACTCATGGTGACCCCATGTGTGTCAGAATAGAACTGTGCTCCATAGGGTTTTCAGTGACTGATCTTTTTCCAACGTAGTTTGCCAGGCCATTCTTCCAAGGTTTCTTTGGGTGGAGTGAAACCTTCAACCTTTCTGACTACTCTATTTAAAATACCACTCCACCTTCTGCCATGCCTTATCCCAAGTTCCTGCTTCATTTTTCTCAATAGCAGTTATCCCCTTCTCTAAAACACACATGTCCTGAGGGCGGAACTTTTTGTCTTGTTCATTGATGTAACCCTGATACCTAGAACAATGTCTGACACAGATGAGTGCTCAGAAGATATTTGCTGAACGAATTGTTCAGATAGAGAGACAATAACTCATTTGGGAGCTCCCCATCACCCTGGAGGAGGCTCTCTGGTGGTAGGAATGGACAGTGCAGGATCCTGCAGTATTCTGAAGGACCTTGGATGTCACAAGGCCATTTTGCCAATCCCCTTGCTTCTCAGCTGATTCACACACAAACTACCCTCTGCTATTAACCACAATCCCCAAGGAAAGAGATTTCACAGACTTCCTGGGTCTTCTGCACCAGGCCTTCCCTGGGAGCCATCTGACAAGCTAACAAGCTGTATTGGATCAGTCAATAGCCAACTGCAGAAACAAGTTGCCTGTTTGAATTGGTTTCCCTTTATTGTCCACAGGGAAAGGAACAAGCACCTCCGGGATGAACAGGACATATGTTTTCAGGTAATTGGCAGTGCTCCCTTCCCCATGGGAAGACAAGGACTGTGGGCAGCCAGAGTCCACGCTGGGACTGACCCAAGGATGTCCTGAGATTTGGGTTCTGGTTGATCCTTTCTGTGTGGGCAGGACGACGACAGAAGGTTTTTTGAAAATAATGAAAATGCAAGGTGGCCTATTGGGTAACAGTGCATTGATTTTCCATGAAGTAACACACTTTCCTCTTGGCAAAACATGAGTGAAATATTTGGGAGGGTCACACATTTATTTCTTGGATGTAGAAATGATAAATGATAGTTCTATCCATGAGATGGCGCAGTTGAAATGTCATTATCACTTTTAAACCAAAATGCTCATGGTTTTTTTTTCTTCATTTAAATTTTTATCTCTTGATGAAAGTTTTGCATTTTTGTACACTATCATAAAACAAATTAAAAACATATATTAATAAAAATGTAAATGTATATGTATATTACATAATTTACCAGTTGATTTTATGAACAATTTTTTTTCACCCTCTGGGGACCTCTACCCATCCACACCTGAACATCATGCTTATATACTTTCCCAAATAGCACAAAATCTATAGTTATTTAAAATATTTGTTTAAAGGTCTTCACTTTGGGATACGTTAAATAAAATTTTGGTTTCCACCTTCCCCTAAGCAGCTCCTCCTTTCGACAGTAGCTGTTGGATACTCTAAGAGGAAGAAAAGTGGGGGCAAGACTGATTGATGAGACCTCCTAATTATCAGAATTTTCCCAGCATGAATTTTATGTATGTCCTTGGAAAAGTCGTTAGCCTCCCTGGACAATGACCACCTAAGTGTCCTATGAGTAAAGGGAATAACTGTCCTTTTTTTCTACATTAGAGGGATTTTTGAGAAAACTCTTGGAAAGAGGAGGGTGATGTGCACTAGACCCTTAGCTGAACAGTGGCCTAAACATGATCAGCATGAGGCAGTTTGCCCGACATTAGGTCCAGCCTGGTTTATAACTGCAAATCTCCGCAGGAACTTGTTACACCATTCCTTTTATATCCCTGACTGGCAGCAAACATTTCTGCTGCCCACCTGTGTGTGCTATTGGAGCAAGGCTTAAGCCTACACATGTTTGCTTGATGATGATAATGGTTATAATTGTCTTAGAAGTAAGACTGAATTTATTTAAAAACTTCCAACCAAATGTCACCCTAATCCCTTGACCTCGCCTCCCTTCACCAGCCAAACTCATTTTGCTTTGAAGGGGGAATGGAATTAAGGACCCTGGGTGGGGGGGATAGAAGAAAGAGTGATAAAATCATGTTCATGCTGAATAATAATTAAAGATTAATCTGGAATCATTCTAGGCATACGTTCAGGGGCCCTGGGAGCACAGCAGTTCCTCCTTCTCTCATTAAGGATCACTAGGAATCATGGAGACGGCTTATTAATGAGAGATTCTTCCTGTGATCTCACTCCCCCTCAGCTCCTGGAAGACATCTATCAGAGAACACTGGCAAAGGGGTTGTAAGCCCCCACTCTACCCAGATCCTCTGTTACAGATGTTTGAGCAATTAATCTATACTCGGCTTCCTTCCACAAAAGATACAAAATACTTTCAGCTAGCTTAGTTACTGTGGACAGAGCACCTGGTTAACTGAGCCTCTGGGATGGACCCTTTCTCATTATATCTGAGGCTTTGGAAATAAAGGGGAATTGGAGCCATGCACAGGGTGTAATTTAAAGATGCACAGAAGTCTTTCATACCCATAATTATTTTCCTTTGCATTAAGCGTGTATCTCATATTTGTCTCCTTGCAAATTATCAGTACTCTTGTGAAGGGTAATGTAGTGGACCCCACACACTAAATGATGCCTGCGTTCATTTGATTAGATTATTAGAGAGGAGATTGAGGAATTCTGGTGGGAAGTGATGGCAAAAGGAAAGAGTGGGGAACGCTAACAGGTAGACCAGAACACTGCTTGCCTACTTCAGAGATTTGTTTAGAGTTTATTTTATGACATGGGGAAGTTGAGTCCTTTTCTGCTCAGACATTGGGGGCAAATCAGCAGGCATAATATGGATCTGAGGGTATTTTGTGTTTCTACAGAAAGATAAGGCAGCCAAGGCAAACGCAGCTGCTTCCACAGCAAGCTGGAAACAGAGATCTGGCTCTGTGATCGGCAAATATGTGGACAGCAGAGGAATTCTTGGAAGGTAAGTCATCCTTCCTTTTTTCATCTGTTCGTTCCTCTCACGCTCATTGTGAGCCTGCTGTAGGCCAGTGCTGGGTGGAGATTGGCCCCTAGAGACCTGGACCTCAGTGGGAAGCCTGGGGTCAGTAGCACTCCCTCCCCTCGAATCTTGGAGAGCATGTCCTCCCTGTTCTGACATTAGGATGGGAGGGGGCCTGTGCAGAGCAACCTCCTAAGACAGGCCATTGTTTTTGGCAGCCACCCCACCCTAGGGTGTTCCTGCAAAGAGAGACTGAAGAAGTGCTGCAGAACAGTATGGTAGAGAGGAGGAGAGGGTCAATGGAGAGAGGAAGATGGAGGTTTGGCGGGACGATGCTCTGTTGTCTGTTGAGCAGAACAGAATGCTGTCTGCTGCACTTGGGTTTTCAGGGACATGACTGTATTGGCTGTGAAGGCTAATTAAAGTATCTTATGGAATCTCCAATAGTTGAACTCCTTTTACAGACAAGAATGGGGCCTGTGCTTAACAGATCATTTCAATGATTTATATTTTAATTAACTCACAGATGACATGTTTTGTTGCCTTTGGACAGGCCACGATTGAATTTGAGTCCCCAAAGGGCTGGCTCATTGCTCATTGAGAAAGACAAGCCGGTCCCCAGTCCCTCTTCCTTTTGGCACGTGCTCCATCCACAGAGATGGGCATAGAAACGTAGAGCAGCCAGACCTTGGAGTACCGACCTGGGAAGAAAGTATATAAACTTGCTCAAATAGGAGACCTGGGGACTGCTAGTACGAAATAAACAGCTATGACAAGGGAAGTGGAGGGGACCCTGGGGATGTCAGTCAGCTCATGAGTCAAGCAAGTCTTTGAGCAAGAGCATCATGGATTCTTTTTCTAAATAGTTGACCAGTGAGCTACAATTTTTATCTCACAATTTGTAAAGTGAGCTAAATTTTGCAATAGTACATGCCCTGTTGGTTCCTCATAGCTGAATGCATTGACTGACTCATTCATTCATTCAACAGGCATTTATTGTTTACCTACTGTGTACCAGACATTCTTCTGAGTTTTGTGAAGTCTTCAAAAATGAATTAGACATGGGTTCTGCCATCAATATCCGTTATCAAATGCTCATTCAATGAATATTTGTTGAGCGCCTACTACGCGTGAGATACTGTGCTGTGTGCTGGGTTTTCAGTGGTGAGCACAATAGACCCTATCTTTGGCTTCAGGGAGCTTATATTTGAGTGGAGGAAACAGATAGTAATCAAATAAGCAACATACCATGAATCCTGAATTCTGATACAGAGTCTGGCAGAGGTGGCTGCTGACTCTATTGCTGACAGATCGCATTTGGTGGCAAAACCAAGAGATGAACTTAGTCATACTGAGATGAAGGTATCACAGGTGTCAACAGCACTTGAGAATTTCCCAAATAAAAGGCTTTTTCCCAAGAAATGCTTCTTTTTAGGGTCTGCTTAAGTAGACTGTTTCTGGTTGCAAGGCCTTTGAAAAAACATGCTATGTGTGTGTGTGAGCAGCGTGAAAGTGGATGGAATACCAGTTGTGTTCTAAAGTAGATAAGCACTAATAGGTTCATTAGGATATGTAGGAAGTTTGTTGGAAATTAGACAATAAGCTTCTATTAAAAACTATCAGTTTATAAGTCAATGTTAAGGTGCTTGAATCACTACAAAGCCTTTATTTTATATCGGGGGCCCAAACTAATTCACCATTTTTGTGAGGAAGCACTGTATCTTCATTTCTCTTTTAAAGTTGAAGTTAACTTCAGAACTGTAATACATACATTTTCTTCTTTTTCCTTCCTGCTGTTGGTTCTTCTTGTTGTTTTTTAGGTACCGTGACCCCACGTGACAGAGTAGAACTGCCCTATAGGGTTATCTTGGCTGTAATCTTTACAGAAGCAGATTGCCAGGTCTTTCTCCCCCAGAGCGGCTGAGTGGGTTCGAACCACCAACCTTTTGATTAGCAGCCAGTAGCTTAACCATTGCACCACCAGGGCTCTTTTGTTGGTCCTTCAGAGTAATAAGCACTCTAAGCCAGGAGGCGAAATAAAGGATACTTCTCTGCTCTCCTTCTCCTTTGGCCCTATCACCTCATTACTCATCCCAATTCTGTTTTGTTTTTTGTTTTTTTCTAATCTTCATGAGGTTGTGGTTGGTGGTGGTGGTGGTGGTTGGTTGGTTTTTGTTTTTCTATTTTGGGCTGAATGTCCTCCCTCTCAAACTTCTATCCCCTTTAAAATAATAAACCAACAACGTGTTGCTGTCGAGTCGATTCTAACTCATAGCGACTATGTAGGATAATGTAGCACTGCCCCATAGGGTTTCCAAAGCTGTAAATCTTTATGGAAGCAGACGGTCACGTCTTTTTCCACACAGCAGCTGGTGGATTTGAACTGCCGACCTTTTGGTTAGCAGCCTAGCATTTAAGCACTGTGCCACCAGGGCTCCTTCTTTAAAATAATACTCAGTTTTAATTGCTCACAGGAGCCCTGGTGGTTTAAGCACTTGGCTGCTAACCAAAAGGTCAGCAGTTTGAACCCACGTGGTAGAAAGATGTAGGAGTCTGCTTCCGTAAAGATTTATAGCCTTGGAAACTGTATGGGGCAGTTCTACTCTGTCTTAAAGAGTCGCTGTGAGTCTGAATCAACTCGACTGCAGTGTTTTTTTTCCAATTGTTCCCAAAGCACTGAAGGACACTCCTTTGCTAGGAAGGACCTGTGAGGTCTTTGCTCTCAAAACATTTTGGAAATATAGCCCGTGCATTGGCGCTACCTCAAGTTGCCCAACTCCCTTTGCCTCCTACTGCTTCTTCTTGCCCTTGATGCTCAGATATTTCTGGAAACCAGTATGCACATAGGCCTCTGTGGCCACTTACTCTTGACTCTGACTTCCAGGGACACTGAAAGAGAAGGAGAAAGGAAGGAGAGGCAGGTGGAAGTCCCCTGCCCGGCATCCTCCCAACCCAAAGCCCAGCCTCAAGTGGGCAGCTGCCTCTGAGCCAGCGGACATCTGCCTGGTTGAGGGAAGGGTTGTCTTCTCAGAGCAGCAGAATCCCTACACTGCTGAGGGCTGCTTTGGGAACACATCTGTTTCTTATGCATTGTCTTATTTGTGAGATAGGCAGGGTAGACGGTCCGTATTTTATGAGTGAGGAAACTGAAGCTCAGAGAGTTGAGGTGTCATACCTAAGGACACACAGCTAATAAGTACTGGTGTTGGGACAAGAGCCAAGGTCACCTGATTGTTAATCCAGGGTACTTTATATCCAGGTCTGGTATACTCCTTTCTTCAAACTTGTGCTTCTCCTTCTTAGCACCTCTCACAACTTATAAAATTGTATTTCTTGGTGTCATTATTGCTTTAGTGCCCTACTAGTTCAACCTCTCCATGAGGACAGAGAGTGTTCATGCCTGTGTCTTTAGCGTAATACCTGGTAGTAATCATCATCACCGTCATCATCATCATCATCAGGCACTTAATAAAAATGTGTTGAATGAATGAGCTAAAGAATGCGTGGTTTTGTTTTGTTTTGTTTTCCCATTCCTGGAGCTCTCTTCTCCACAAGGTGTGGTGCTGTTGAGTTTTCTATTTGTCATAAAAGCTATCAGGCAGTCCTTCAGCTTCCATATTGATGTAGTTGATGATAGGCCCTGCATCTTCTTTCTTCCCCACCCCAAAATAGCCCATCAGAGGAGGAGGAAGATGTGTTTGGCGTCCCGAGGAGGAGGAGCTCCCTGGGCCTGAGTGGATACCCCCTCACAGAAGGGGAGCCAGGAACTGGGGAGCCAGGGGCTGGGGGTCCACCCCACCAGACACTCCACAGAATCATCTCCATTGAAGAAGACCCCCTGCCCCAGCTCCTGGATGGCGGCCTTGAGCAGCCACTGAACAGATGCCCAGAAGAGCGGGATGTCTCCGACCAGGGGGGCAAAGGACAAATTCAGCAGGCCCCACCCTTGGAACTCACCCTCACATCTCCCCGAGGACAGCCTGTTGGAAAAGAAGCCCAGTATAAGGTAGTACACATCATCCTATAACCTGTCTCTTGCATCTGAGCCCAAGAGCCCCAAGAGGCAGCTCAGAAAGTCAAATGCAGCTGGTCTTGTGATCACCATGTTTGTGTCCTTCAAATACCATCTTCCACTGCTTAGCTGAGTGCCATGAGCTCCTGATAAATCCCCCTTATGCCTCTGTTGTTGGCCCCATTCCCTGCCCTGTGCTCTTGTTCTGATTCATATTCAAAAGTATTTATTAAGCACCTACTTATGCTAGATCCCCTACTAAGCTTTTAGCATAAAATATCATATACTTTTAAAATTGCACTTCTTTTCCTCCATTCTTTAACTCCTCTCAACAGTGCCAATGCCTGCTGTGGAAGTTTTTTGTACCATCTTTTTTTCCTTAGTTCTTTCTTAATCAGCTAATTCAAAAGATCACCCTTTCCTTTCCACGTGGCCCTGCCTGCTCCTCCCTTTGGTGTGACCCTACACTCCCACACCCTTCCTGAAGCCCCCACCAGGGAGAAAAAAGACCACATGAAAGACCTTTCTCTTCCTGGTAATAATTTTCCTCCCTTGTTTGTGACCCAGGCCTCCGAGTAGGCTCCTCAAGCCCTCCATCCTGCACTTGACTGAAAACAACCTTGAAAATGCCCATGACAATGTGAAAGAGGCTCCCTGCACGCTGTGGCAGCCTTTTAGAATTGAACCATTGCCAACTTGAACACTTCCAAATGGTAGCATGTGTTCCAGGAAGACTTCCCTGGCCTCTACACCATGACTACTTGGCATAGGTTATCATTCATGGGCCTGGATTAAGATTCTTGCTCCACATACCACTCCTTTGAAGTCCCCTAGCACAAGGGGAGAATGGAGAACTGGGTGGCACCAACATGGTAGGACCCCTCCTTCCTACATGCTTCTTCCACATCCCCTTCAGCACACAGGCCTACACTTCCCTGCAGTGGCACAAAGGACATCTTAAATTCCCTAGTATACCCCCAACATTGTGAAAGAAGTGTCAAGAGCTTAGTAGGAGACAGGAGTAAAGAAAAAAGTCTAAGCATCCATGCCTGCCATAGCGTGTTATCTTCACAGTTGTCTGATGAGGCATGTCAGAAATTTATTCTCCTCTTTGACAGATGGGGAAGTAGAGGCCCAGAGGGGAGAGGCTTTGCCCAGGTTGCATAATGACGTAGCACCCAGCCCTTCTCACTGTGCCTGCTCTCATCTGTGCCCTCTTCACCATGTCATGCTGCCATTTTTCTGGGAGTAGAAGCTGTAGCAGAGAGGAAGTATGATTTACTGGAAGCCATATAACAGCTTCAAAAGAGGGTCTGCTCTGAGGGGACTGTGAGGCATGCCTTCCAAGTAAGGCTGGTGGGGCATAAATTGGTAGTGGTTTGATAATATGAATCAAGGACTTAAAAATATATCCTTTTCAACCAACATGTCCACTTTGAGCAGTCCTTCCTAATGAAATAACCAAAATCAGACAGATTTAGCCCACAAATTTAAGCGTTATTTGTAATAGCAAAGAATTGGGGAAAAATGTCCAACAACGGGGAAAGGTAAATTGTGGTATATTCATTCAGTGGAATAGTATGCAGCTGTTAAAAATCACATTTTCAAAAGAATTTAGTGACTCAGAGAACTATTCAATAAATAGTAGTCATTATTCAAATAATTTAACAATATTTGAAAAAGCAGAATAAAATCATATATAATATCTAAAATCTCTCTAAACAAAACATGTATCTATCCATTTATCTATATAGAAAAAGGAGCCCTGGTGGCGCAGTGGTTAAGTGTTTGGCTGCTAACCGAAATGTCGGCAGTTCATATCCACCATCTGCTCCTTGGAGACCCTATGGGGCAGTTCTACTGTGTCCTATAGGGTCACTGTGGGTTGGAATTGACTTGATGGCAATGGGTATATAGAAAAAAGGCTGGAAGAAAATGCATCAAAATATGAATAGTGGCCGTTGCCAGATGATAGGGTAGATTATAAACAGCTATTATTTTCCTCTCTACTTTTCTGTACTTCCTAATTTAAAAAATTAACACATATTGCTTTGATATATTTTAAAACTTATTTAAAAGAGAGAGAGAGAGTGGAGGAAGGGAGGGTGAGGACCCGGTCTCCTGACTTGCCAGCCAAGAACTTTGTCCAGTGCCCAGTGTCTCACTGCTGTGCAGCAGGGGTACTGTCCCTCACAGGGGGCAGCAGGTTCAGTGTAGGAGCGTGAGTAGGAGTTTGCTGTTCCTTAGTGGTGAGTTCAATGCCGAAGCTGAACCGCCAATGTGTTTATCCTTTTTGCCTGCAAAAAGTGCCCTGGCGCCAAGGGGACACTTGAGGGTCAGGCAGCGCCTCTGCAGCCAGGACCACCCTGTCCCATGCTGGTTTTACATCCTCCACCCACACCTGTGTCTGGGGTTATATAGACTGGGGCACCGAGCTTTAATCTCAAATGACAATTAGAAGCGCAGGGCTGAGAGACAGGCAGAGTTGGTGCCCTTGTTCATTGCATGAATAAAGAGAATGAGGCGGGGGCGTAGTTTTTGAGTGTGAATTTTTTGTTATTGTTTTAAGTTTATTTTAAATTCCTATAGTTTACCCTGAGTTCTCTCTTAAGTACTTTATGGAATAGATTTCTCCCCAAAAGGCTGTTAATAGCTTTTCTCTGAAACTCCAGTACAGCTAATATCAGCTGCCACTCCATTATAGTATTGGCTCAATGAGAGCAGCTAATTCCCCCAAATCCACTTTTAAAATAGATTTGAAAGAGCCTCCTCGTTTGTCCAGGAAGCACTGGGCTGGGCCTGAAGGCAGGATGAGGGCGAGCAAGCAGCTCTCTGGCAGCAATGACTGTTCAGCTAAGCAGAAAGGACCCTGGGGTGGAAGGCAGGTTCCTTACTCTGCTTCTTCCTTGCTAGGTGTCCTAGGGCCAGTCCCTAACCTTTCTGGGCCTTAGTGTCCCAGACTCTTGCCCCCTGCCCCCACCCCCTGGCAGACAAGAAGGAGCAGCAGTGAGTGATCCTGGCATCACGGGATTTCCCAACTGACCCAGTGGACACTGTCTTGCCTTAGTTACCCAGGGAGGGTGGGGGTCCCTAAGTGAGAACAGGTGAGATGAGACAGGGGCAATGTGCAGGGAGGCAAGACGTCCTCCATTCAACCCAGGACTGCGTTGATGGGGCAGATATAAGAGGCCCCCTGCCCTAACCTGGCTGTGTCTGCCCCCCGCCCCATGATATAGGTTAGTCTTCCTTTTTCTATCTCCTCTTCTCCCTGCAAACACCCCAGCTTGTCCTTCTCCCAGCCCCTATAGAGAATTCCTGCCTCCTCTTTAAGCCCAGCTCAAAACTCCCTCCTTTGTGGATCCTTGACTCCTCCTCTCTACTCCCAGAGCCCTGGGAACACTGTGCTGTAGTTATTTGTTTACATGCCAGCCTCCGCCACTCCACCATAAACCAGAGTCTACCTCCTCCTGTCTGCAGCTTCTGGCCCAGCATAGAGCCTGCAGCACAGTAGGCGGGCAATAAATGTTAGTCGAACGGATGTTCCTCCTTCCCCTCCTTCTAATGCTGGAAGGAACCTCCAGGCTCCGAGCCCAAAGTTACCTGCCTTCCAAGGCTGCAGCGGCTCCCCTGGTGCTGGTCTGGAGGTTAAGGTCCCTGTAGGGCCTGGTGAGGAGCACGCCTGACAGGCCAGGCCTGGTGGCCATGCCCAGCCATTGGCCGACTGTCTGCCATCCACAGGAGGAAAGTTCTCCCTCTGCTCCAGACCGGCTCTTCAAAATTGTGTTAGTGGGCAATTCCAGCGTGGGGAAGACATCGTTCCTGAGGAGGTTCTGTGAGGACCGGTTCTCCCCGGGCATGGCAGCTACTGTGGGTGAGTTCTTGTCCCTGAGGGGCCCAGGCCAACAGGGAAGAGGGCAGTGGTGAGAAGGGAGGGGTTTGGAGCCCAGTGGGGAGGGGTGGTGGGGACTGGCAGCAGGGGCACTAACCTCTGCTTTGTTCAGCAGTGAGGCTGGGAGAGGCAAGGTGAAGGCCTTTCACAATTCTAGCTGCTAAGCTCATTCCGTGTGTGACGGGACCACTGAACGCTTCATACATCCAGCCTTGAATGAAACTGAACAGAACTGAAGGTGGCAACACTGGGCTTCAGGCCCCTTTGTCCTCCCTCGGAGCGTCGGTCTCCCTTTAGTCACTCCATCCCCACTTTCAGCAGGGCTGACCAGGACTCCTGTTGTCTAGTTACCTAGTGCTCCTGTACAAAAACACCACAAGTAATGTGGCTTTAAAGAACAGGAATTCATTGTCTCACAGTTTGGGAGACTAGGAGTCTGAATTCAGGGTTGGAGTCACCTCCATAGGAACTAACAACACAAGCAGGACTAGGCTCTCAATTTCTGTTGGCCCTAGGGAAAGATCCTTGTCTTCTTCAGCTTGTGTAGCCCAGGGTGTTTCTTGGTCTTCCCTGGCTTGCAGGTGGTCCTCCCATGGAGTATTCCTCTGGGGCGGTGTGTGTATGTGTGTGTGTGTGAGAGAGAGAGACTCTCCATGTCTGTTTTCCTTTTTTTTATAAGACACCACTCAGAAGGGTTTAGGTTTAGGACCCACCCTATACTGTTGTTGTTGTTGTTAGGTGGTGTCAAATCAGTTCTGACTCATAGCGACCCTATGCACCACAGAACGAAACACTGCCTGGTCCTGCGCCATGCTCACAGTCATTGTTATGCTTAAGCCCATTGTTGCAGCCACTGTGCCAATCCATCTCATTGAGCGTCTTCTTTTTCGCTGACCCTGTACTTTACCAAGCATGATGTCCTTCTCCAGGGACTGATCCCTCCTGACAAAGTATATAAGATGTAGTCTCGCCATCCTTCCTTCTAAGGAGCGTTCTGGCTGTACTTCTTCCGAGACAGATTTGTTCATTCTTTTGGCAGTCCATGGTATATTCAATATTCTACCCTACATTGGCATGACCTTATTAACATAACAAAAAAACAAAAAAAACCTGTTGTCAATTGAGGCGATTCTGACTCATAGTGACCCTATAGGACAGAGTAGAACTGCCCCATAGGGTTTCCAGGGAGCGCCTAGTGGATTCGAACTGCCGACCTTTTGGTTAGCTGCCGTAGCTCTTAACCACGAAGCCACCAGTGTTCCCAGCATAACAAAAGAAAACTCTGTTTCCAAACAGGATCATATTCATACATACAGGGATTAGGACTTCAGCATATCTTTTTGGGGGACACAATTCAATCCATAACACCTACCCGTACTGAGACCCATACCCTGCCACCACACACCCCATCCCCACAATGGGCCAACTCCTTCCTTGCCCTGTCCCTTCCTATATGTGTATGTGTGGACTCGGGGGGGATGCAGGAAAGTACTCTAGATGGATTAATGTGTTTCCACTCTTGGACAATATTTTATTTTAAAAGGGGCCTTTAATCCCTTAACCCAAAGTGGCAAGTTGCACTGAAATATATAGCAAGACCCAGGAGGAAAATAGTTTGAGGTACATGACTGGTTAGCTTCTACCAGGTTGAGTCACTCATACAAAGGCTAAATCCATTAAATGCTTACTGTACCTTTTAACCAAGTGGATAAATCAGCTATACTTGAAAATACATTGATATTATCTGAATATATTTATATGATCTGAATATTTACCAAGGGCTTTTATATTCATTATTTTAGTCTATCTTCACAACAACTCTGGAAGACAAGCATGGTTATGCACCCAGTATACAGATCAGGAAACTGAGGCCCAGAGAGCTTAAGAGGCTTGACCACTTTCCCATCAGCTGGTTAGTGCTGATTCCTCCCACACACGCATACACATACCTTCTATTCCATTGCACAGTATTCCTAACAATATTGAATTGTATGTTGTTAGTGCCCTGTGAGTGGTGAGGACAGTTATCTGCCACAGGAGGTGGGCAGAAGTTGGTGCAGGCAGGAGAGGCTCTTCTGTGCCTTTGAGGTGTAGAAGTCTTGGCCCCTCATCTTGCTCTGCACTAGCAGCTACACAGCCTTGAGAGGACATATTCCTGATCGGGCTTCGGTTGAAACATGAGGGATTTGGGTAGCTTAAGACTAGGAGTCCCTGGGTGGTGTAAACAGTTAACGCGCTCAGCTGGTAATTGAAAGGTTGGAAGACTGAGTCCTCCCAGAGGCACCTCGGAAGAAAGCCCTGGAGATCTATTTCTGAAAATGTCAGCCATAGAAAACCTTATGGAGCACAGTTCTACGCTGACACATGTGGGGTCAGAATTGGTTCTACCTGTAACTGGTTTTTTAACCTAAGGCTGCCCCCGAGCCTGGTCTCTGTCCAGACCACCTTCAGCCTTTGGCTCTCTCTAACAAGCTGGTTCTACAGGACAAATTGCCCTGCCCCAGAGCCCTGCCTGAGGAGACTCCATTCTCTGTCATCCTAAACTGCCCCAACTTCCAACTTTTCCTGCTAATGGGTTCTTCCCGCAGGCTGTCCCATCCTTACTACTGAGCCTTTTCCTCTGTTTCCTCCTTTCTGCCCCACTCCACCCAAAGACAGAGAGCATCCCAAAGGAAGGATCAGACCCCTGATGGGCAGAGGGCAGAGCCTATGGAGTAAACGCAGAAGAGCCCAGCCTTGCTGGGCCTGAGAGTACTGGCTGCGAGTGAGCCCGGGGCGCCAAGCGAGGTGGTGCAGGAAGGAGGACTGTGGGGAGGTGGGCTCGCCTTCCCAGGGGAGCATTGAGAATGGGGTGGACCCCCGCAAGTCATGGCTCAAGCACAGCCTGTGGGAGACAGGGGCACAGATGTCAGGACCTTTGTTCCTCAAAGGCATTGCCCTGAGCAGCCCATGCTGTGCGCCTCCCCTGACGATGAAATCGGGGTCCGTTTACATTTCTAACCTGTGCCGTGAGATGGAAGGCTCTGAAAAGAGAAAAACCAGACTAACTGGCACTTTCCAGGGGGCCAATTATGGAAACACCAACAATTTAGGGAGGGGAAAAAAAATCAAAGATTACAAATGAGGAATACGCTTCATCACACTGTGCAAAACATACCAGAGCAGCAGCTTAAATTAGTTTCCCTGCCATGCTACGTGCCTTGCTTTGATACACATGTCAGTGAGCAGGTTTCCCACCTGAAAGACGCTCCCTTTAAGGAGATAGGAGTCACAGTGCCATGGTCCTGGGGGCCCAAGCAGTCCAGCACTAGAATGGGGCTCTGGCCAAACACCTTGCCTACCAAAGGCAGCAGCCACAGCACTAGCATGTAACAGGGATTCAACTGTTCTTTAACTCTGACCTCCATCATCCGAGGTGTCACACTAACCATGGCTCCCACTCCCTTGTCAGACCATGATTGTCCTTTACCCTCAGCTTGTGCATAATGTGAGTTGCTGTAATACAACAGTGTGACTTGGGCCTCTGTTCCCTCATCTGTAAAATGAAGGTGTTGAGTTATCAGAGTCCTTCATCAGAGAAGAGTATGGGTGTGGCTCCACCATGAAGCATGGTTAGTTGTTCACAATGCACTGGAAGCTTCTTAATAATTGGAAGCAGGTCTGGTCCACTTAGCACCCTACCAGGCACACAGCAAACCAAAACCAAACCAATTTGCTGTCCAGCTGATTCTGACTCATGGGTGACCCCATGTGTGCAGAGTAGAACTGCTCCATAGGGTTTTCAAGACTTTTCAGAAGCAGATCACCAGACCTTTCTTTGTGGCACCTCAGAATGAGTTCGAACCACCAACCTTTCAGTAAGTAGTCGAGTGCTTAACCATTTGCACCACCCAGGGACTCCTTAGGCACACAGCAAGCATCCTTAAATGTTTGCTCAGTTGAAGGTCCCTGCAAGCTCTAATATTCCATGATTCTGTGACTGTGTCCCTCATTTATCTGTGTACTTTTCTAGTCTCATTGTCGCTATGCCAGTCTGGGCCAGTGTGATGGTCGCTGGCCACCTACTTCAGCAGATCCACCATGGCCCAGAGGGTCCATTCTGAGACCACCCTCTTACCTAAATCCCAAACAGCAATGGAACAGGAATGGGGGAGGAGAGGGAATTGTGTTCCATTCCAAAGTACTGAGGAACTTTACCCATGCTCTTCTCCCTTTTGCAAGCAAAATAGGCTTGGTTATTCAGAAAATTAGAGAAAGTGTATTGTTTGCAAAACTTCTATGTACCAACTACAACTCATTCTTGAGCCTGGCTTATCAAAGTGGTGCCTCTGCCCTAAGTGACTGAGACGTGACTGTGGGGCTTTCCCTCCAAGGAGGAAGCTCTTGCATAAAGAATCTTCCTCATGGTACCTCCATAAAAGAGGTATCCTTTCCCATTTCACAGACGGACAATGTTGAGCCCAGACACACACAAGTAAGCCAATCGAGTCAGAGTTCAAACCCAGTCTCTGCTTCCCTCACCCTGCCTACCCCATAGGAACCAGCCTATTCCTTCAAGAGCAGGTGCTTGGACCCTGTGGGTGTCCCGGTGATTTTAAATGATGGTTTTTGTAGAATGCTGGAGCTGGAAGGAAACACGGAAATGGTCCGTTCACATCCTCTCATTTTGTAGATGAGAAAATTGAGGTCTACACTCAATTCCACTCTACTTGATTATTACAGGCTAACGCTCCCTAGGGCCCACAACTCTAGGTCCAGTGCTCGTTCCACTAATCCACATTGTTTCCCAGCCTTCCTGCTTCAAATCACAGGCCAGAACCCAAGTGTTTTCCTGATAGAATGTATTCTGCCCTTTCTTGGCCACCAGTCCAGTTTCTATCCCACTCCTCAGCTCTACAGAGAAATGACTGAGGAGATCCTGTAGGGTTTTTCTTCACAACTACTTGCTGACACTCCCCACTCCAACATCCCACCTGCTTTAAAAGACAGCTTGGGCCTGTCTTCTCCAGAAAGGTTAACACCACCTTTCCTGCAGTACATCTGTCCAGCTGTAACCCACACCATCTCTACAACATACTTCATGGTGACAGGCAGGTGCTGACCAAGGTTGTAAGTTGGGGTGACCTCGATGTGACCATTGGGTGCTACAGCTGAACTTAAAGATCGTGAGCACCCAACTTATGCCCGACATAGCCTCTTTAAAAAAAAAAAAAAGTTGCCATCGTGTTGATTCTTACTCAAGGCAACCCCACGTGTGTCAGAGTAGAACTGTGCACAATAGGGTTTTCAATGGCTGTGATCTTTTGAAGTAGATCACCAGGCCTTTCTTCTGAGGTACCTCTGGGTGGACTCCAACCTCCAACCCTTCAGTTAGCAGCTGAGTGCATTAACCGTTTGCACCACCCACCTCCACTCCTCTACCACACCTCATTTTACAGATGAGGAAAATGAGGCCCCCAAAAATGAGGTGAAAGAAAGTCATCAAGGTCACACAGCTGGTCGGTGGCAGAGCTAAGACTGGAACTCAGAACACAGGTCTCCTGACTTCTGGAATCTTAGAACAGATCGCGGTCCTAGAAATGAGTCTAATCCAGGCCCTTCTGGACCCACGTTATTGTGTGTTGCCTCCCCTACTGGATTGTAACCTCTTTATGGTCTCCTACCGCACCCCAGCCCCTGTGGGCTTGCTTGTCTGCTTCCCCCGGCCTGCCTGTCTGTGAGAAGTACACTTTGTATCCAGCAGGGAGTCTCGCCAAGCTCACCACAGCACAGAATGCATTTTTCCAGGACTCCTTTGTCCACCTCACTCCCCACACGACAAAGCTGGTTTACCTCAGGCAAAGGAATTAGCCACTGAGGTAGAGCAGGGAGGCTGAAGGCAGCTCAGGCCTGGCTGTCCCAGCGTACCCACCTGCCTTTCCATTAAGGAGAGGGCCCCAACCCCTGGGGCTTTGTTTGGACCAGCTTGCAGGTTCCAGCTCTGGTAAACTTGAAGGTGTATTGGCAGTGGGTGGCTTTCCCCTGAGTTGTTATCACAAAGCAGACAATCTCTTCTCTCTCCCTGAGCACAGGCCAGGAAAGCCAAGAACACTCATACCTGGATTCAGCTCCCAGCCAGTTGCCATCTGTTTGGATGGGAGTATTAGCACTGGGCTGAAGGAAGCCACTGGGTGTCCCTGTGTCCAGAGTGGTGCTGCAGCAGGGAACCTCGGGGCTGGCCTTGCATCTCTCTGCAGTTGCTGACCAGTGTGGGCCAGGCACAACCTCCCTGGACTTCTATTTCTTCTTCTCACCGGGTGTGTGTGTGTGTGTGTGTGTGTGTGCACGTGCACGCACAGGGGGAGTGCTGTGAAGGTAGAGAGATGGCAAGTGAAAATTTAAAGCATTCTATCTACCAGTGGGAGCGGTCACTCTTTTTCTTTACCCAGTCAAGTGCATTTCTCCCTCTGGCTCTCATCTGTGCAGCAAAGGACATCTAGAGTCCCTGCTGGTCGTGACATTCTCGGAGTGGAAGACCTCTGCCTCTCCTCCACTCACCAGCTCATAATCCACTAGCCTTTGCCTGGAGAAAATGGCTGTGTGGCCTTTTCCATTTATTGCTGCTTTGTGATGTGTTTTGTCTCCTCTGTCTCTGCCTGTCCAAGCTGCTGTTGCTGTTTCCTTTCCTGAGCCCTCCAGGGTAAGGATCTCAGAGGCTGGGCCTTTTTGAAGGTAGGAGAGAAAACTCTCAAGTTCTAAGATCTGATACCTTAAGGGGGAAAAAGCTTCTGAACAGCTTTAAACATTTGTGAGGCTTCTTACTGGATGTAGGAGACAGGAATGTGGGCATCAAAGAGCCTCCACTAAGGTCCTGGTCTTTGAGGGCTGCTTTGGGATTCAGAATGCTTTTCACCGACCCTGTTCCTTCTTTCTGGGGTTGGGGACCTCCGATTGTGAATGGCTGCGATTAGGAGCTCAAAAGAAACCCATGTCATGAGGTGAACGATGCGTTTAATTCTCTCCCCTGCACGTTTCTCCTTTTCTGCCCCTCCTTCCACCTGCCAACCCCTCTCTCCCCCTCCCCCACATACTTGGTTCCTTCAAAGTGGCTGATGAGGTCTTAAAGTCTGACCCACCCCCCAGGAGCATTTGAGTTTTGTTAGGGAAACTTTGAAAATATTTTTAGGCAGAAAAAGAAGAAAAGAAATTAATTTGGGTACAGTCTCACCTCCATCTTCAATGAGAGAATAAATTCATGAGTACTAAGAACTGTCCTTGCACTTGTATGTTGCTTTAACACGTGTGATCTCATTTGGTCCTTATTATGGTGTCCAGTAAAGTAAAAGGGTAGGGATTATACTACAGTGAGGAAACTACGCCTCAGAGAGGTTAAGTGATTTGATCAGGTCACACAGCTAATGGCAGAGAAGGACCTGAACTCAGGTCTCAGGCATTCCTGTCAAGTACTCTGTCCATTACCCCACATTGCCTCCCAGAGCTGTCCCCTTGGCCTGAGCTGATTCCAGACACTTTGGAGGCATCTTCTCCTGATCTGGAGAGGAAGAAGCCTCTGAGCCAGGGAGCCCTGACAGCCCCGTTTCACTTCGCAGGGATTGATTACCGAGTGAAGACGGTGAACGTGGACGACTCTCAGGTGGCCCTGCAGCTGTGGGACACGGCTGGGCAGGAGAGGTGAGGAGCTCGTTGCCTCCTAGCTCCCTGACGCAGCCCTGCCTTCCCCCACTCCCCCACACAGGGTGTGCACCCACTGACCCGTGACCCTTCTGTGGTAGGTACCGTTGCATCACCCAGCAGTTTTTCAGGAAGGCCGATGGTGTCATCGTCATGTACGACCTCACAGCCAAACAGTCCTTCCTGTCAGTCCGGCAGTGGCTGAGCAGCGTGGAGGTGAGCTGATGACCTTCCTAGAAATACTCAGGCTTAACTTCTGCACCCCTTTCTTCTCTGCCTATCTCCAACCTGACCCATCTCACTTCACACCCTGACTCAGAACTCACCTTCTCCAGACACAAACCAATTCAGGCATTCATTTATCCATTCATCCAAGGGTCCAGTACCAGGCCAGTTACCGGGGGTTCAGAAGTGAACAAGGCAGGTACATTCCCTGTCCTCATGGAGAGTAGGGACAGGAAAAACACAGATTACATTGATAATCATATTATTATGGCTGAGATAAGTGCTGTGAGTAATTAGAATTGGATGGGAGTGGGGAACAGAATGGAGTGTCAGGGAAAGCTTAATAATTTAAATTGAGCCTCAACCACATTCTTCCCCCATTCTCACAACCACCTTTCCCCACCCCTGCACCTTTCTAGCTCCCATGGGCCCAGCTGTGCCCTGCCCAGGAGCCACATCATGCCGTGTTTCTGGGACCTCTGTCACAGCCCTTCACACAAGGGGAGGTTGATCTATAATGCGAGGGTTCCAAAGCCAAAGGTCAGGATAGGATCCAAGAGCAACTGTGTACCCCTTTGAACTCTGAATCATCTGTAAGGCTGTGCTTTCTTGATTTATACTTGCTAATATTTTGCTTTTAAGTGCTTTTTACTTCCTGGCCATCTGTATTTTCTTCCTCTCCTACTTGAATGCAGACTTCTCAAGGCCAAGGGAAATGTGGACAAGCCATTTACTTCTCTTTTCCGGGTCTCAGCTTATTCTTTCGTAAAATAGTCATGTAGGATGTCCCAATCCCTAGGACCAGCAGAATCCATCATTTGTCCATTTATTTGGGCAAAACAGTGTAAGGCACTGTTCTAGGCTCTGGGAATGATTAAAAAACCAGTTACTGTTGAGTCAGAATCGATTCATGGTGACCTTATGTGTGTCAGAGTAGAACTGCGCTCCATAGGGTTTTCAATGGCTGATTTTTCCAGAAGTAGATCACCAAGCCTTTCTTCCAAGGTACCTCTGGGTGGACTCGAACCACTATCCTTTCAGTTAGCAGCCAACCACATTAACCATTTGTACCAACCAGGGACTCCCTGGGATTATAGCAATGAATAAAAGAGGCAAATCTCCTACCCTTGTGGAGCCTATGTTCAACTCTCTACTCCAAGCCCCAGAAGACCTTTCACATCTCCTTGTTACTTATCACATGGTTGTAAGAGTATGTATTTACCAGCCCTATGCTGTGCTGGACTCCATGCCTCCTGTGGACAGAAGCTGTATCTTCTTTGCCCTTGTTACCCAGGTGCTTAGCACGGGGCCCTAGTGTTCAGCAAATGTTGGATGAATGAATGAACACTATATCTTCGTGAAGCCAGAACACTGAAGTTGTTAATTTCCTCATCCCTCTGGCCCTAAAATCTATGATTCTTCCCACACAAATCTGTTTCTCTTATAATTTTGACTGGCTGGGCCACTTCTGTTCTCTATTATTCATCCACATCCTTCTCAATACCACTGAACATAAAGAACAGAATGGAAGCCAGACTCAAGTGTTTCTCAGAATTTTTTTTTAATACAAATTATTCTTCACACTTACCATGGCTAAAATGCTTTCAATAGAGTAAGTTTTAAAATGAAGCAGATTGGCTCTATCCCAATCTAATGGAAGCAAATGGCATGGATAATCTGGAAGTGATTCCTATTTAAACTCTGGAATCTATGACATGATTTTTTTCTTTTTCAGTGGATGTTAAGCACCAGGAGAGACTTTAAGGATTACCTAATCCAGTGCTTTGCAAAATTTTCTTCCTTGGAGCCTTGGGATAGACTGAAGTTCCCCAGGGAAAGACTTAGTGATCACAATTCTGGGCCCCTCAACCCCCTCCCTTAGTCAGAGCTGCTCAGCTTCTCCCAGTTTTGTATACTGGAGGTCAAGGTACAATTGTGTTAGACAAAAGGGTTTCTCCTTGAAAATCACTGATGAACACAGCCGCCTCATTTTAAAATGAAGAAATTGAGGCCATGGCTTCTCTAAGGTCATCTGTTCTTTTCCCAGTCACAGACATTTCATGTCCCCCAATATCTAAATTTTGACAAATACTAGAGCTGGGCAAAGGCAGTCCAAGAGGTCTGGGACTAATGGTAATGGATGGAGACAAGTTTATGGAACTGCACTCTCTGCCGTCATTAGAGGCTTCTATTTGCACAGAGAGCCTGGGAGCTAGCAGGAGAGGTGGAACCTCAGGGTGAATTTGTCGGTGGTGATGAAATCTCAAGCGGGCTGCCATCACAGCTAGAAGAAGGAGCTCAGTCCTTCTCCAGAAAACTTTGCACCAAGCACTGGACATTTGGCACTTTCCTGCGTCGGAAAGGACTGAAAGCATCATCAGCACATGCATCAGCTCAGAAGCCTTGGTGCACCCCTGGGCTTGGGAAGCCAGGTGGAGATGGTAAATCTATACATGGTTAATTCAGAATGATTTATGTGTTGGTGGCATTTTTCTGTATAATTTGTAGTATGAGTTTTTCTTTCTTAAAATTTCAGCACAAGTGGCAGTCAAACTCTAAATGGCGATTCCAAACCTGGATGAGCACCCCCTGTGGAGCTTTTAAACAAAGCAGATGCCACGGCCTTCTCTCCCAAATGGAATGGTTTAGGATCTGGAAGTTAAAAAACAAAAAAAGTAACAGCTGCCCAGGCAATTTTGATTCTCAGCACCGGTACCGAGCCTAAACAAGTCCTTCTCAAATGCTAATATATGTGAGAATCTCTTGGGAATCTTGTTAAAATGCAGAATCTGATTCAGCAGGTCTGGGTTGGGGCCTGAGATTCTGCATTTCTAATAAGTACAAAGGTGAAGCCAGTGTTGCTGGTCCAGGGACCATACTTTGAGTAGCAAAACTCTAAATCATTTTCAAAGATGGTTGTGATCCTTTAATGAGAATTTCCTGAGTATGTTGCCCATGCCCAGCACTCACTAGGTACTCTGGAGATCTCTGTACAATAGATTCATGAAACCAGGGCTTTGAACTGGTTCATTCCAGTTCAAACCTCTGCTGAGAATTTGCATTTCCACCCCAGATATACTGAATCAGAATCTATATTTTAACAAGATCCCCAGGTGATTTTTAGTATAATAAATTTGAAGAACCACTGCTCTACTAGTGGAAACCTTGATGGCGTGGTGGTTAAGAGCTACGGCTGCTAACCAAAAAGTCAGCGGTTTGAATCCACCAGGCACTCCTTGGAAACCCTATGGGGCAGTTCTACTCTGTCTAATAGGGTCACTATGAGTCGGAATCGACTCGAGGGCAACGGATTTGATTTTTTGGCTTGGTTGTACTAGTGGTTCTCAGAATGGGTCCCTAACCAGCAGCATCACATAGGAACTTGTTAGAAATGCAAATTCTCAGCAGGGGTTCATGCCAGAGAATGAACCAGTTTGAAGCCCTGCACAAAACACATTCGGTTCAGTGGCTCAGGGTTGAGAAGCAAGTACAGGAGGCTGTGTTAGATGGCAAAGTATGTGTTCAAGGTGCGGAACAGTGGCATCATAAATGCAATTATTCTCAAGATTCTTGAAAAGCTAAGTCATTCTGCCTTGGCAACCAGCAATCAGAGGTGTCAGGTGATAGATTAAAACTTGACACCTCATTTGATCTGAGGGGAACTGAAAATAATAAGTACTTTATATTTGTGGAGCACCTTATTTTTCCAAAGAGCTCCAAGCACTTTACCAACTCCCTCGCCTGCAGAAGGGAGGATGGAGGGGGAGCTTTAATAACAGTCTTCAAGGCTCTGAAGCCTTATTATTAAGAGAATGGTGGCCAGCTGTTCTCAGTGCCTCTTCCTCCCTAATCCTGGAAAGCAGTACAAGAAGAAAGAGCTTAAATTGCTATAGATTATACATGGGAAAGACTTACTCTTGGAAGAAGTTGTATGGAACAGGAACAGATGCTCAGGGGAGGTAGCTGGGTTCCCTGAAAAGGAAGTTCTTACCATCCCAGCATGGCCACTTCCTGGCCATAAAACTTTGGCCAATCACTCAGTGAAGGAATAGACCAGATACTCTGAAAGGGTCCTTCTGGCCCCCAAGTTCTATGGTGTATGGGATGAAAGGGACCTAATGGCAGTCCTAGCCCAGAGAGTAGCAAAATCCTATGCCACAGGTGAACTCCTTTCCTGTTTTATGAGGTAGGAGGATCCTGCCCTCACACTGTTCTACCCCACCTGCCCTGTCCTCTTCCCACCTAGACAGCTTTACCTTGCCTGCTGGCCTTCTGGGACCAGACACACTCTGTGCTGATTCTCTTATCATTTTACATTTCCTATGCACCTTTGAGGAAACCAAAGCAGTTAGTCCTTCCTAGCAACTCACGCCCACACCCTTGTCATCACTGTTGGGTAGAACTGGTTCAACCTGTCCAGTTTGGAGAAGAATCTGGTTGGGCTCTAAGGGCCCCTATGTTTAGACCGTAGCACAAACTGGACATCTGAAGACTTTGGGGCCTGTATCAGGTAGAGAAAATGGAATTTGGTACAAGACCAAATGGGCTGGTAACTACCCGAAATCCAGATGCTTGGTCCCCAGTGTCATGGTCCTGAGTCATTGAACTTCTTTTAGATCTCTGCCATTCTAATAGTGCTATGATGTTAAGGCTAGAAGTCAAGGAAGTGGAATATGACTGGGGTCTTTAAGCCAAATAGACTAATCTTTGATTTCGTCTCTTTTGTATCCATTTTTAAGGACCCCTGGTGGCACACTGGTTAAAATCCTTGGCTGCTAACCAAAAGGTCGGCAGTTCGAACCCACCAGCCACTCCTCGGGAGAAAGATGTGGAAGTCTGCTTCCATGAAGATTTACAGCCTTGGAAATTCTGGGGGCAGGTCTACTCTGTCTTTAGAGTCGCTATGAGTCAGAACTGATTTGATAGCAGTGGGTTTTGGTACCCCTTTTTGGGTGATGAAACATTAGAACTGGAAGCAAACTTGGAGATTAATGCAACCTCTTCTTTTATAGATGAGAAAAACTGAGATCCAGAGAGAGGAAGTGACCTGTCCAGAGACCCTCACAGCTTGTCACTGGTGCAACCAGAACTAGACTCTAGGGCTTTGCCATGCATTATGCTTCTATCTAGTCACATGGGCCATTGTTGAAATCTGCTACTGAAAAATAGGTGTTCATTTCTTTTTCAGTTCTTCTAGCTTCAGCCTCAAAGCAGAACAGCTTTTCAGTTCAAGGGGGGCAGGCCCACTTCCCTCTACCTTCCTGGGCTGCTAGCTAATTCATATTCCATGATCTTTGTCGTTGGTGACAATGTACAGCACAGAGCAAAAAATAGCAGTTTGATTTTTTTTCCCACGTTCCAAGTTGAGTTTGAAGTGCTGGCAGTTTAAAACGAACTACACAAATAAATCTTGTTTTGACTCATAGTTCAGGGGGTGGATAAATATGGAAAGCCCCAAGATATAATTTTGCAGTCATTTTTTTCTTAGCATAACTTCATGCTTTAATGTGCTGAGAAATTTTTCATTCTGGCTACAGAGAAATAGCGGCACTATCCTGGCTAAGTGCTTTTTCTTGCCTCCCAGCAAATAGATATTAAAACACACACACACACACACACACACACACACACACACACACACACACATACCCTACAAGCAACCAAACCCAGCAGCGGCACATTCTGAACTGAATGCCAATCCTCTGCTCCGAGTTGACAGCTCTTGTTATTTAAAGTCAGAGATGGATACTCTTTTGAATTTCAACAGTTCTGTCTTCCAACAAGCTGGAGTTCACAGCAAGGCAACCAAAATGATCGAAGGGGTAGAGAGGCTTCTGTGTCAGAGGCATAGAGCAGAAACAAGCTTCAGAGGCCTATTTTACAGTTTGGAGAATGGGGGTTCGGAGAAGATGAGTGACTCTGGTGAGTCACACAATGAGATGGTGGCAGAGCCTGAGTTCTCTAAAGAGAGATCGGGTGTCTGGCTAAGGAGTTAGGATTTCTTCACTCTGACCTGCCATGCCTAATGGATTTTACCAACATCTATAAAAATATCAGCAACAGAGGTTGGGTGAGGCTTAGACTTGTTCACCAAAGCCCCAGAGGCTAGAAGGAAGTACACTTTGGCCTCTTAAAAAGAAGTGTTGCTTCTCATCTAGTGGATAATTATGAACGTCTTTGTGCCAAGAAGGAGTCCCTGCGTGGGGCAAATGGTTAAGTGCTCAGCTACTAACCAAAAGGTTGGTGATTCAAATCCACCCAGAGGCTTCTCAGAAGAAAGGCTTGGCAAATCTACTTCCAAAAGATCACAGCCATTGAAAACCCTATGGAGCACGGTTCTACTCTGAAACACATGGGGTCGCCATGAGTCGGAATTGACTTGATGGTAACTGGTTTGTGCCAAGAGGTAACACAGGTTGAAAATCTCATTAGGTATGAGAAAGGTATGAAGTTTAAGCAGATAACTCAAGACTTTTGAGGTTAAAATCAGAGAGGACCATGAGACACCCAGCCCATCCTCAGTCCCCGTGCCCCTGTGTCAGAAACCGGTCTTAAGCCAGGGTGATGATGACCAGCCAGTCGTGATATTCGACATATCCTTTGTCTGGCCTTATGTGTGTGTTTACTTATTTTTGCCATATATTTGGAGAAAGACCTAATTCTCCTTTATTGGTGGCAGGCCAGCCCCAGAGAGGGGAAGCGAGTTGTCCGGGGTGGTTGCAAAGGGAGACAATGCAAAGAACAGAAACCACAGCTCCAAGTGGTTGCTTTGCTTTTCCCCTGCTCCTTCTAAGCTCTTTCATTTTCATATCTAGGAATTGTTTTTAAAAAGAAAGAAGACTGCCCCTTCTTTTCCCATGAGTCAGCACTGCTGTTTATGGTGCAGAGGGCTCCAATGTTGGGCTTATGAATCATTCCCTACCTCATCCTATTCAGTCATTGAGGATCCATTGTCCCCCCAGTCCAAGAAATAACAAAATCCAGGTTAGAATTCTGTCCCGAGATTTAAATTCTGATGCTCATGTTTTCAGAGCGTTTCCATGTCAAAAAATCCCACAAGCCTTAGTCATTCCTCACACATAAATCTACAAATATCTCTCTGTCGTGTGCTCTAAACAGCAAGCCTTTTGGCCCATTTCCCTGCTTCCTCCTCTTCTTTTTCTGTTGCACAGCATAGTTAGAGAATCGGGGTATTCCCAGGAACTAACCCTCTGGTTAATAGGGAGCCACAGCATTCTATATATGTCATATGTAGGTTTCTCAATTTTAAATAATTGGAATATGATACAATCCACTTTACAGTACACATAGTTTAATCTATTTTTGTTGGGTCAGAAGACACTGTAAGATCTTGTAGTGCCTTTGAGTCATCATTAAAACCTGTTGCCATCAAGTTGATTTCAACTCAGGATGACCCTGTTGGACAGAGTAGAACTGCTCCATAGAGTTTCCAGGGTTGTAATCTTTATGGAAGCAAACTGCCACATCTTTTTCCTGTGGAGTAGCTAGTGGGTTCAAACCACTGACCTTTCAGTTGGCAGCCTAGTGCTTAACCTCTGTGCCACCAGGGCCCCTCGTCATGACAAAGGTTAATTACCATCTTACCATGGATATGTGGAAATACTGTTTTTAGAAAGTTCTAGTTAAATCGACACTAGATAGCAGAGAGTTTATTAGAAATAAGAAACCAGAGAAGAAAGTTAGAGAGTTGTAGACTCCTACACTAAAGGCTCTTCATAATTCAGAGACTTTGTTGTTGAATGTGTAGACTAAGGAACCACTGAGGCTTAATTTCAAGCATAGTTGCATTTAAACTTAAAGTAGGTGTGCCTATCAGATGGACTTTGGACGTTTATTTGACATGGTAAGGTAAAGAAGCTGAAGAATTGGCAAAACTATAACTGCTTGTTAGCTTCTGTTATTCCACAGCCCTTCCATTTAGTAAAACACTTAGCTACAGTGAATAACTATTTCTTACCAAATTATGATTAAAAGGCCTAATTAAATATTTCACAAAGTAAAAATAACAACCCGCTTAAATGTGAACATTACCATATTTACTCACTTAATAGCTGTGCGCCCTGGACCCTTTATTTGCCCTCAGAAGAGGCACATGTACATTCAGTTTACAAGGGAGGAGGCAGAGACCCTGGGTGCAGGTTCCTGGATGACCTGCCACAGCCACTGGAGGAGTAAATAGGGTTGATCCATTGAATCAACCTGTTACTTCTGGCCAGCAAGTACAGCCCCTCATGGGGGCCTTCTTCAGAGCCAGAGCACCCAATGACAGGGAGCTGCTGGACCCCATGTAGGGACCTCCAGTTAGGCTCACAACAGTCATCTGTGAGCACCCACAGTGGCCCAGTACTAAGAATTTAACCCTCAGGGAGCTTATGTGCCCAATGTGAGGCTCCTGGAGATGCCGCTTGTAATCAAAGCAGCCTCCAGACAGCTTCAAACCAGGTTGCATGAATTCGCTCAGTTCAGTCTGTTCCCCTTAGACTGAGTCTAGTCACTTAGGAATGCCCTCAGGGGCTCTGAAAGCCGCCCATAGTTCAGTGGTATCATCTATCCCCTCTTCATCCTGCTACCCACTCCCCAGCACACCCAGGGACTCTGTGTGCTCCACCCAAGATCCAAGGAGAGTGGTGAGGAAGGGAGAGGTCTTTGCACAGATAGGGACCGGGAGGCACCCAGAAGGCAGGCCTTGGGCGCTTTGCAAAAGTTTTGTAGACTGAGCCTCTCAGAGAAGGTGGCTATCTCCTCTCTACTTTCTGGATGACTCTATCATCACCCGTCCTGTCATGGCAGCAGGGGATTCTCAAACTAGATTGTATCTTCCCAGAGAGCATTTTAAGACTGCCCTTATGAGTTCTCCTTATGGAGCTTCTCTCAGTTGGTTGATTATCTCTTCTGCAGGAATCTGTGGGAGACCACATCCCTGTTCTTCTGCTGGGCAATAAAATTGACAACCAGAAGGAGCGAGAAGTCCCCCGGGGCCTCGGAGAACAGCTTGCCAAGGTAAGGAACAAGCATTTCTGTCTCTCTGGGTAGGGTGGGAATCCCCAAGGGCAGTTGGGCCCAGGAGCCTTTATGGGAACCTTCTCTGGAAGCCCTGTGGGAAGGAAGCAACTGGGCAAGAAGGGTGTCCTGGCATCATGGGACACCCAGCTCCTATGCATTTAGAACTTTCCAGAGAAAGCCACAGATTGCAAGTTGGAGCTGGTTAGGGCCCAGTAGAGCTTGGGGAATTATCCTAAACTCTGTTACATGTAACACAGAATTATAAATTATGATATAAGAAGTTACTTAATTCAGTCCTCCATCTGATACTTGAATCACATTCTCTGTGTTCCTCCTTGATCCCCTTCAGAGATGAAAAACTCACTATCTGTAAGGCAACTTGTTCCTCTGTGGACAGCTCTATTAGAGAGTTCATCCTTTCTATCAAGATTAAGCCTCAAAGCTATAAAGTCAAGATAAACTGAGGGGATAAAATAAGCATCAGCCTTCTTGCCCCAGAAGGGAGCTAGTGGGGCTTAATGGAAATCAAGCTAGAAAACAAATAGGAAGTGCCCATTTCTTGGCTTCTAGTGCCTTGGAGTTTGGTTTTCATGGAACCAAGGAGGACAGGATCACATTCTAGCCCTATGATTCCATAATTCTTAGTTTGCTCATTCTAATCAGGGACTCATGACCTCAGAACCTGGGAAAACTAGCACAGATAGTAAGAATCAAGGAGAAAGGAAGAAGAAGGGCTTGGCAGGTGTTCATGTGGAGGGTCACTAGGCAATTATGTGTCCACAATCCCTCATCCTCGATTTCTAAATCCAGAAAGCTCTGAAAACAGAAAGGTTTTCTGCATTTCATCTGCTAAAAAATAAAGACTGAAACTGAAATGAGACTATTTATGGTCTTTATTTACCTCAATTTGTGTGACTATTCATATGTTGAATTACAGAGTGCTGCCCCAGGCCCACTGAAGGTATTGTGTAATATATAGTATAAAACCAGTTGCCACTGAATCTACTCTGACTCATGGCAATCCTATGTATATCAGCATAGAACTGTGCTTCATAGGGTTTTCAATGGCTGATCTTTCAGAAGTAGATCGCCAGCCCTTTCTTCTGAGGGGCCTCTGGGTGGACTCCAACCTCCAACCTTCCGGTTAGTAGCCAAGAACATTAACCATTTGCACCACCCAGTCACCCCAATGGACAGTACATACATATATCACTTTTCTAAAATCCAAAACGTACTGGGTTGCCAAACACATCTGTCTCCAAGGATTTTGGAAGGAACTGTAGACCTGTATTACTATTATTCCATTTTCTTTTCTTTTTTCTTTGGTCAGTGAAAAAAAAAATTGAAGTTTAGAGAAGTTAGTGGTTTATTCAAATTATCGCAGAGCTTATCAGCAGTGGGGTCAGAACTGGAGGCTAGAAGACAAATCTTGTCTTCTTACTCCAGGTCCTCTGCACTTTCCACCCCACCACGTCAGCTCTTTGACAGTCTGACCCATAACCAGGTTCTGAAAGAAGTGGACAGGGAGAAATGAAGTGTGTGGGGCTGCGTGAAGAGGGCAGAGGCTGGAGCTGGGACCTGTGGGTGTGGACCAGGAAAGTGGATTCAGAGCCAGCTTTTGCAAAGCCTCTTGATCTGCAGCCACAGAGCAAGCATCCTCATTCAACTAGCCCGCATCACCACAAAGATCAGCCTCCAAGAAAAGACTGTCTAAAAGCAAGGGCTCTACACCATGAGCATTGTCATAATGAAGCAGGAAGTCTATTGATGGGAGTGATAGATGGAACAGGACGAGCCTTGGCCAAGGGCTCCCCCATGCACATAGCACAGCCCCAGCCTAACGAAGTGATGGACACTTTTCCTGGGGCACCAGTGCTGACAGCCTGGGCAGCTGAAGTGTTAATGAACCGGTGAGAGGAAAATTCCCATGGGCGGGCCTCAGTGTTTTCTGCCCCAAGGTCTATGGAACGCCAGCATCCTGGGAAAAACATGCTGCTGGGAGCCCTGCCATGAAGGAAACGTGTGACCTGCACAGGGCAGCCGCGTGCCCTCTCTAGCCTCAGTTTCCTGCCTGTGAAATGAAAAGAACATTGCCTGTCCTAGCCTGCGTGTCCTTGCCTGCATCCCAGGGCTGGTGCGAAAAGGAAGCGAGGATATTCCTACCTGAGTGCAATTTGAGAATGTAAATCAGGAAGGCAGCGTAAGGTTTTGTTGTTTTACAACTGTTGCAGCTCACCTGAGAGATGGTTACAGAACTTGCATTAGTCAGAGAGCCTGAGGAAACGGAAATTAACCATGTACTGACTCAGCTGGGGGAGGGTCGAGGAAACTAAGGGGGACTGGAAGGGGAGCCCTGGTGGCACAGTGGTTAACAGCTATAGCTGCTAACCGAAAAGTCTGCAGTTTGAATCCACCAGCCGCTCCATGGAAACCCTATGGGGCAGTTCTGTCCTGTCCTATAGGGTCGCTATGAGTTGGAATCAACTCAAAAGCAACGGGAATTTTTGTTTTCGGTTTGGTGAGAAGAAATGGGGCTGTGGGTAGATGCAGACAGGTTGCCCCCTACTCCCCACAACTGTCTCTACCCTCCCCCAGTACTCTCCTTTTATTCCTTCTGTTCTATGATTCTAGGAGAACAGTCTGATCTTCTATGAATGCAGTGCCTATTCTGGTCACAATGCCAAAGAGTCCCTGCTCCATCTAGCCAGGTAAAAGAGACACAACTCATCAGGTAAAGCTGTGCCAGGTCTGGTGGGAGGCACTGCCTTCACCTCTGCCTGGGACCTTCTGAGTAGAGGAGATGGTGGGCCAAGCCTTTGTGTGGGATTTCAGGCGTAGGAGTAGGCCTTCTGAAACATAATAGTGATGAAAAAGAAAGCCTCCCAGCCTGTCGTTTGCCATTGCAGAGTCTTTCTTCTAAGTATTAAATGCTGCCTTTATCCCCAGGGATTCTCTTTTTAAATGCAAATAATCCTGGGAAAGGTCATAGCATAAGACCCTCATCACTGGCAAATACTTTAGCAGGGATTAGTTGGCTGCCAGCTAGGAGCAAGAATGGGTTATAATATGGGTTCCTGGGGGAGGGGGAGGAAGAGGAGCCAGGGAGAGGAGGGGCTGTTGTGGGAAATCAGAGGCACCCAAGGTAATGGGACTGTTTTCATGTGTTGCTAAAAGGACTGGTCCCGTGGACATATTGATTCCTTAAGCCCCTGACTATACCAAAATTAAAACAAAACCACACTGGGCCCCATTTTCAATATTTGGGCATTCATTTCATCCATCCATCCATCCATCCATCCATCCATCCATCCATCCATCCATCCATCCACCCACCCACCCATCCATCCATCCATCCATCCATCCATCTATCCACTGAACTAATAGTTAATAGTGCCCATTTTGTGCCCAGCACTCACTCTGAGGCATTTAAAAAACATTTTTATTTGAGTAATTAAAAACTCAGAATAAATCCTTCTATACATTAGAGAGGTTATGGGGTTATGGAGTACCATGAGAAAAAGTTCTAGCTTTTCTCTGACACTGAGTCCCTGGGCAAGTCCCCCTGCCTCTCTGAGCTTCGTTGGTCATGTAGGGACATCAATCATGTCGTCCCTGCCCACTCACAGGTTGTCCTGATCATCAAAGAAGGTGCTGAAGGTGAAAGTGCTTTAAAAGTATAAAGCAGGGATAAGATATTTATCATTATTTTTAATCCTCCACCTCCTACATTTAATCTGGAGCTGTGTCCACATGGGACAACCATTATGTAGAGTTAAGAATCAACAAATATATCTTTGGAGCCTCTACGGTATGCCTATTACTGTGCTCAGCTGCTGCAGAGATGCAAAGGATCCATCTGTAACCGTCAAGCAGCTTATTTTCTGGTGAGGGAGGAAGCAGTGCATTATGATGCTGGGTGAAGGGCTGTAACACCTGAGGAGTCACACTGCTATCAGGGGCTCTTAGACTGACCTACAGGATCAAGGGAGGCTTCCTGGAGGAGGTGTCTTGAAGGGTCCATGTTGACTAAACTCTCTGGATTTGCAATTACAGTTAGGAACCTGGACTCCTGAGACGTAGACTTTAAATACTGTCTCTGACCCTCTGATGTGGCTGAGTTCTCTTCTTATTACCCAAATGGCCTGTAGCCTGAGGGTGGGTGGTCCATGTTGCCAGCTCCTGGGCCTAGCAGCTTCTCTAGTACTGATACTACATCTTCCCCCCTCCCAGGATCCTCAAGGAGCAAGAAGACACAGTGAGGGAGGACACCATTCAGGTCGGCCGCCTTGCCAAGAAGAAATCCTGCTGTGGCTGATAGGAGGCCTCCCAGGACTATCGTGGTCGAAGCCTGAGGTCCCAGAGTCCACCCTACAACCTGCACATGGCCTCCTACGTAGATGCCATCCAGCAAGGCCCACCAGACCTTTGTCCTTGTCAGTGACTTGCCTCCCTCAAAAGGGAGGGAAGCACATTGAGTCAGGAGAGCTACTCTTGGGGCATCTTGGGGTCTTTCCTTTCCCTTCTCGCTCTAGGCCCCAGGTGTCCATTCCTTCTTTTTCAGCTCAGTTTCCTGGGGGAAAGGAAACAGATGGGCTTTTCCAGAACAGCCACTACGTGCCTTCTCCATCTCCCTTCTCCTCCCCTTGCCCTTAGGAGCTACAGCCCTGCAGTTGCCAAGGCAACCATGCAGGTCCAACTTGCTGCTTCCTGCAGGCCAGAGGATGTACTGCTTGGGTGATGCTGAGGTAGTTTGTCCTGCTTGGGCTCCTGTTCTCTGGAGACCAATGAGATATCCTTGGTATATGCTTCATGGACCTTGGGATACCCATGTTGTTGAGAGAAGGAAACCAGAACGCCCACATTCTATTTCACCACCACCACGCTGGGTCCTTCTCCTTCCCAAATTCACATCTTCAGGGACCAGCCTCTCGGCAGCCACCATCCCGCTGCATTTGTTCCTCAGGTTCTCTGGAATGGTGCCTTGCAAAGAACCCACAGCCTTTCCTCCCCACCGCCCACCCACAACCGTGGCTCTGAGGTAGACTGTGGTGATCAATTTATGCCTGGGGTTAAGGAGTAGGCTTACTTCCTACTTAACTTTGATGAAGAGATGAAAAGAAAACTAACAGGAAAAAAACCATCTGCTGCTAAACAGAGAGACCATTTCTGGAGGGTATAAATAAGGTATATACAGCTATATAAAAGCCATTTTCTAAATGTTTCTCAAAATAGCTCTGCAAAAAATCGTACATGATGATTAACTGGTAGATTGACATGCAAGCAATGAGGCCCAACACTAGGTCCATAGTTACCAACTTCATTTTATTTTATTTTACTTTATTCCAGAGATGGTATTTAAAAAAAAAAAAAATCTGTGGCTGTGATGTTGACATTTTGCTGGTGCTGAGAAGTGAACAGAGTGTATAGCTGCTGGCTTCAGCACCCCAGTGACTGCAACAGCACAGGGCACTTTGAATAAAGGGAATGATCTGGAGCTGTATTCTGTTTCCTTCAGCTGAGTGGGGTTAGTTCCTAGTCCCTGACAGTATGCTCGCATCACTGACTGGCTGTCAGGGGTGCTGGCAAGGAGGGCCTCCCTGCTCTGGTGGAATGTTGGATGTAAAGCTCACTGTCCACTAAAATTCTAGGACTACAGATCCAGACCCCTACAGGAAAAATGGGCAATGCACACCCAAGTGGAGTTCCTGGGTGGCACAAACAATTAAGTGCTTGTCTGCTAGCCGAGATGTTGGTGGTTCAAATCCACCCAGAGGTGCCTGAGAGACAGGACTGGCGATCTGTTTTCAAAAGATCACAGCCTTGAAAACTCTTTGGAGTAGTTCTACTTTGCACACACAGGGTTGCCATGAGCCACAATCGACTTGAAGGCAACTAACAACACCCAAGTAGGGCAAGAGGGAAAGAGAGGAGCACAGAGTGTCCACAGGTCTCTAAGAAGGTGGTTCAAGATGATTCCACACAGCCAATAGGTGGGAGACACCACTGGGCAGAGTCCCCAAGGGTGTGGACCCCTGCAGTCTCCTCCTTGGCTTCCCAAAAGAGTCAGAGCCCCCATAGGTAGGTCACCAGGCAAGTGCCTACCTCGTTTCTGCAGACTTCTTTCTCTCATTCATCACTTGTAGGGACCAGAGAGCCCATGGAGGGTGCAGAATAAAACCCAGGACTGAGCCCATGATCTTGGGCAAGCCAGCTCTCTCCCTGGGCCACCATCTCCTTATCAGTAAAATGGGTGAGCTATTTGATGTTTTGGGCTCTTCCTGTTCTGAGTGCTTATAATGACATATTCAGTTTTCATAGTAGGTATAGCCCTGAATCCCAGTACAAGGTTGACAGGGACAACAGACTTCTTCCTTAACGGAAGGCAGTGGTGATGGTCTTATTAGTGGGATATGTGGGGGTACATGGCTCACCCAGATGTGGCCTCCCAACATCTGTGTGTGTGTTGTGTGATCGTGTGTTCTTGTGTATGTGTGGAGGGTGGAATAGAAGGTAGGGGTGGCCATGGAGAAAATAGACCTGCTCACCTGTTTGGGTCAAAAAAACAAGATGGCAATAGAGATTTATGGGGCAAGTAGAGCTATAATTGGTATTCCCTGGACGCACAGATTCCTTCATTTCTTGTTGGGAACTGCAGCCATTTGTAAAAAGTGCATTCAGAGTTTAGAACAGGGTGAGATGACGCTGGTGCTTGGCTTTCCAGCAGGCTGCGTAAATCCCTACAATGCCTCAAGGTCCAGACAGAGAGAGGGACAGGGAGGATCTTCAGGCCTCTGTTGTTTCCTCCTCCAACCCCATCTGAAAAAAGTGTGGAGTACAGGGACATCAGAAAGACTGTGAGATGATCTTTGTCCCCAGATCTTAGCCTCCTCCCCGTTCTCTCTTCTTTTTAAGCTACCAAAGTGGCTTAAAGATCAAAGCTGTCCCAGTAGCTGTCAGCCTGTCCCAGAGCACAAGATTGTCAGAAAAATCCTCTGGCTCTAACTCATGTACATTGCTATAATGACCTCGAGCAAGACGCTTAATCAGGCTTCCTGTCCTTGTCTGTAGAGTGGAGGTTTCAATGTCTGCTTCGCAGGAACATTGTAAATACTAAATGAGATAATGTGTATAAAGTACTTAGCACAGTGTCCAGCACATAGTAGGTGTTAATATGTAGGGGTTATTAATGTTGTCAACATCTAGTTGCTGCCCACAACATTTGCCTTATGTCAGATTTAGTACCAACTAACATTTTCTAAGCATCTACTCAGAACTGGGCACATTCACAAACACTATCTCATTTCAGCACCTGGTTGCCCAGCCCATTTGCCTAGGTCCTGAACTCTTACCTGGCTTTGCCCCTAGCATCACTGTCTTTTGTTGTTGTGGGTTTCTTGGTTTCCCTCTCCACCCAGACTTTTACCCAAATGCCCTGGTTTTCCTACCAGTGTCTTATCCTGCCAGTGCCTACTGTCTGATTTCAGCCCACAGTCAACTCTCTCTCTCTCTCCCTGTCATTCTCCAGGACTCAGCAGCTCCTACCTGGTCCCAGCTCCTGGTGTCTCCTGACCTGTGCTCATCACCATCCCTGACCTCACACCTGCTCCCTATTCTGACTCCTTGTGCTTCTTCTGGAGTCTGCTGCTGCCCTCAGCCCTGAGCTGCCAAATCAGAAGCTTCATCTCCAAACCAATGGCCCAGTTGCCTTGCTCCTTGTCTAGCATTGTTTTCCTTTACAGTCTCTTTGGGGTATTCTCTGTTCCCCTGTGACACTCTAGCTTTCCCCCACTTCTCGCCATACTCAATGTACTTCATTCTCAATACCCCCACCCAATCTTGAACTCCCATCCTCCCTACTCTCCCTCTGGGCCCACCCTAAACCTTACCTGTCCACTCTATCAAACATGGCTCAACCTTTTGTCTCTATCACTAGAAGTCACTGCTGCAAAGATCTTAAACCAATTTCAGCTAAGGGTTAATGTAAGTGGTGACTCCCAGGCTACACTTTAACATAGTACTCTAAGGGAGGAAAAACTTTAAACCAAAGGAATGAGTCTCTAGTGATGGAATACTAAGCACCATAGTGGGTCATAGGGGTCAAATATTTCAGGACAGAGCTGTGTTCTGTACTTCTCTCAAAGACCTCAGTTTGCTTCTTATATTTTGGGGCTCTGTTGTTAGGTGCAAATATGTTTATAATTGTTATGTTTTCTTGATTGACCCTTTATCATTATAAAATATCCTTTGTCTCTAGTAACAATTTTTGTCTTAACATCTATTTTGTTTGATATTAGTATAGCCACTCCAACTCTTTTTTTGGTTACTGTTTGCTTGGTATATCTTTTTCCATCCTTTTGCTTTCAACCTACGTGTGTATTTGAATCTAAAGTGAATCTCTTGTAGTTAACGTATAGTTGGATCATGTTTTTTAATCCATTCTTCCAGTCTCTACCTTTTAATTGGACAGTTTAATCTGTGTACATTCAATTACTGATATGTTAGGGCTTATGTCTGTCATTTTGTTATTTCTTTTCTATATATCTTTTTTATTCTTCTATTACTCCATTACTGTCTTCTTTTACATTAAATAGATATTTTTAGTGTATCATTTTAATTCTGTTGTTATTTCATTTACTATATTTTTTATTCTCTTTTTTTAATTGTACTTTAGATGTAGGTTTACAGAGCAAATTAGTTTTTCATTAAACAGTTAATACACGTATTGTTTCGTGACATTGGTTGCCAACCCCATGACATGTCAACACTCTCCCCCTCTCGACCTTGGGTTCCCCATTACCAGCTTTCCTGTCCCCTCCTGCCTTCTCATCGCAGCCCCTGAGCTGGTGTGCCCATTTAGTCTTGTTTTGTTTTATGGGCCTATCTAATCTTTGGCTGAAGGGTGAACCTCAGGAGTGACTTCAGTACTGAGTTAAAAGGGTGTCCAGGGCCCATACTCTTGGGGTTTCTCTAGTGAGTCTGGTCTTTTTTTGTGAGTTAGAATTTTGTTCTACAGTTTTCTCCAGCTCTGTCTGGGACCCTCTGTTGTGATCCCTGTCAGAGCAGTCGGTGGTGATAGCCAGGTACCGCCTAGTTGTACTGGTCTCAGGCTGGTGGAGGCTGTGGTAGTTGTGGTCCATTAGTCCTTTGGACTAATCTTTGTGTCTTTGGTTTTCTTCATTCTCCCTTGCTCCAAACGGGGTGGGACTAGTAGAGTATCTTAGATGGCTACTCACAAGCTTTTAAGACCCCAGATGCTACTCACTAAAGTAGGATGTAGAACATTTTTTTATAAACTATGTTATGCCAGTTGAGCTGAATGCCCCCTGAGACCATGGTCCCCAGCCCTCAGCCCAGTAATTCAGTCCCTCATGGAATTTGGATGTGTCTATGAAGCTTCCATGACCTATCTTTAGTCAAGTTGTGCCGACTTCCCCAGAATTGTGTACTGTCTTACCCTTCAGCAAAGTTGCCACTTATCTATTGTCTAGTTAGAGTTTTTGCCTCCCCACCCCTCCCCTCCTTAGTAACCATCAAAGATTGTTTCTTTCTGTGTGTAAACCTTTTCATGAGTTTTTATAATAGTGGTCTCATACAGTATTTGCCCTTTTGTGATTGATTTATTACGCTCAGCGTAATGCCCTCCAGATTCATCCATGTTGTGAGATGTTTTGCAGATTCATCCTTGTTCTTTATTGTTGCATAGTATGTACCATAGTATGTTCATCCATTCGTCTGTTGATGGGCACTTAGGTTGTTTTTATCTTTTTGTTATTGTGAATAATGCTGCAGTGAACATGGGTGTACATATGTCTATTTGTGTGATGGCTCTTGTTTCTCTAGGACATATTCCTAGAAGTGGGATTGCTGGAT